CTCTACACAACAGAAGTCGTCAAGATCGAGAGTTAAACAAATAGTGCAAATGTTTAATGCAAAAATGGTACAAATCATTCGGCGTAATGGAAACGAAACCCCATATACTACTCTACATAATCAACTTTCACCAGAGACGAAGACAACAACGGAAAACATAAATAAGTTCGTGCAACAAGTCTCAGCACCAACATCACATACAGAATTTATAACCAATAATACAAGTACAACTATAATCCCACAACAGCCACAGAAAAGATTCACAAATACTACTTGCTTGGTGACGGAAGAAATCTTTAATCAGCTTTCTGTAAAGGATAAAGCATTGCATTTTAATAAATTTATAGACAATTCAAAATTCATTAAACAAGTAGGACCTCAATTAACTAATGAGCAACATTTCGTAAAAGATTTGACGGAAGAGTTGGAAGCACTCTGTAGTTTTCCCAAAGCCACCATTAATCCAGTGAAAAATTCACCGAAAAAACTAACCACAGATGATATGAAGGAAGTTCCTGAATGCGCAAACCTCAATGAAAAATTACATAACAAACGAGATGTTATACCTTTGGATATAATTGAAGCAACACAAAAGCGTTCAAGTAATTCTATGTTATCCGATGATCCTAAGAAAATACGCCTACAGCAAGTACACTCTAATTCACTGAGGGCCATCACACCAATAAACAATATCAACAAGTCAATTATAACGGTATTTGATCATGAAGTTACTATCAGTTCTTTAGATGACGATGCACAAAAGTCAGCAGTAAATAAATTGCTGGAAGAAGCGCTAGCAGACTTGACAACAATTGATGTTAAAGAGTCAACTGAACTTGTTTTACAAACACCTAAGAAAACTCTAAGAAAGAAGAAACGCCCAGCACCGCCAATACCGATTTCAAATAAAGTACTCAATTCAAGTGAATGCTCATCACAATTGCAAGAACCATGTGACGAACCAAAACAGAATATTCTAAATCCGATTGAAGACTTCAAATTTGCAGTGCCAATCAAACCACCACCACGAAAAAAGAGAATGAGTCGTGCTGCCCCATCAACAGATGTATCAGATGAAGCACGTAGTTCTAGTGAGTGCGCAGCACAATCACAAGACACGAGTGACGAACCAAAACAGATTATATCAAATCCGTCTGAAGATTTCAAATACGCTGTTCCAATCAAACCACCACCACGCAAGAAGAGACTGAATCGTGCTGCTCCTTCAACAGATGTATCAGATGAAGCACGTAGTTCTAGTGAATGCGCATCACAATCACAAGCAACAAATGACGAGGCAGAGCACCCCAATAAAAATATTCCAAATTCATCTGAGGACTTCAAATTTGCTATTCCGATTAAACCAGCACCACGAAAGAAGAAAATGAATCGTATTTTAACCTCGGGGAAAGAAAACTTGAATATTGAATATTACAAAAGAGGAAAGGCATTCAAAAGTAGGCCGGACCGAAAGATATATAATATCAACAAAGAAAACTTGGCGCAATATCACGCTAGTTCACCAAACGAAACCAATATAATTGAATCACGCAGTAGTCCAACACCAATATCAACAAAATCACGCCGACGTTTCTTTTATGACAATGACTCACGGCGCAGCTCAGTATACAAGCAAGTCATACAAGAGCATCATCCATTAGACAACGCCAAAGAGATACCATCTAAGCAAGATAACTTTAGTGGACGCCCCAGTGCAAACTCCTTCGCCAACATACCATCGAATAACCTATATACTAAGTCTAGATTTTGGATAACGGTAGATGATCTCAAAGTTTCCTATGACATATGTTATAAGCCAGCTGCTGACCTACGTTGTGCATTTAATAGCTTCACACAGAAAATGCGCTATCCTACAGAATTTGGTATCGATGAACATAAGTTTTCAATTCTGGATTCACCCACAAAACAAGAACGCTTGCCAAAAATTAATAAAATCCATGGACACAGTAGTTATTGGTTTTCTTGTGGAGATCTTATTATAATGTTCACTGGCAAACAAAGATCAACTGATGAAGTAGCGCACTTATTTACATTTCTAAGGAAATCTTATACAAATACATCGTCAATACGATTTGGTGTAGATGATATCGAGTTCTCCGTATCACAATACTATCGACCAAGTGGACTAAGATTCTCTGTGGATTATGATATGTTAGTGGGTCTACAAGCAGGCAACAGCAACGGACTAGAAGGACGCAGTAAGTTTGCATGGCCAAATTGCAGAAGATCTTCTACAAATTTAAAGAATCCAAGAATAAGTGATCTTTACCGCCCAGAATTCGAATCGGAGAAGTTTGGAAATAGCAATATGCCAACATTATCTTTCGGGAACCGACTTTCTATGAACTTTCTACGTTACAGTGATGCTAGCATGTTCAGTCCAGATATGTTTAGCTTAAAAAGCGAGCCATTGGATCAAATATTCAATGATGTTAAAAACCTAACTTTCCTCGAAAATATTGTTAAGGAAAATAATAATGTTTAATTTAACTTCAATCAAACTACTTAATTATGCTAAATATTATATAAGACTATTATAATTGTAATAATTTAAAAGTAAGAAATAAATTTTAATTAAAGAGGAAATTAAATTGTTTAAAAATATAAAAATTTTACAGAATTTATGATTTTGAGCATTGCGCTATCTGCCTCCATTCCACGCAGTTGGTTTAGTCTATCGGTGTTTGGAAGCATTCTAAGCCATCTCAGCTGCAATATAAGTTCAATATTCTTAATTTTGCTTTATATTGAATTCTAATATCTTTCATTAATTTAAAAATTCTTCCATCAAGAATCTTTTAGGCGATACATGGCGATATTTGACGTTGTATCTAGAAAATGTACTCAGGCAGTATAATTTGGTTGTTCGGAAGGTTTAAACCTTCTGCCAAGGTAATATAGCGAAACCATCCATACCACAAATACTTAAAAACAAGCTAAAAGTTGGTATATACCTTATTGCGGTTCTTTATTGACAGGAATGTTAAATTATTTATATATTATGTATTTTTGTATGTCAATCAGCGGTCAACATAACTATAAAGGTCTACCTAATTGCACTAGAAAACAATTATAATATAAGAATGACATTGTTGAATAAAAATTCCGTTGGGCTGAAACAACTTCTATGAAAAACAATAAACGTAATAACGTAATTACTTATTCATATTCATATTCTTATTCATATATATTATTGAGGATCCGAAGTTTTGTTTCCGCCTGAATTCACAAATGAAAATAGAAATTATATTCGGATATGTGTTATCCCTCCTCTTTTCGACTGACAAGAGAACTAGTAGTAGGTAGTAGTCTCTTTATAAAAAAAATTTGAGAAAAACAACAAATTTGACTAGCATGAAGTAAATTTAAACCTGGCAAAATAGAACGTTTCGTGAAAAAATCGGATCTCTTCTTACAAATTACTTATCTAGAATTCTCATCTAGAATTCTACAGATATAAAAAAACTTAATAATATCGATCCTATTTTCTACACATTTATTAAGACTCTAGCATTTTAATATAATAATCTAATATAATATTTATTTTATAACTACCATTTAAGAACTTATCATAATCTACCTTAATTATTTTTTTATACTTACTCCTAAAATTACAAGTCTTAAAAGAAAAAAAATAATTCTTGTTTAATTTCTATAAGGTAAATTTAAAATATTATCTCATTTACTTGTATCATCTATTAGAACCCAGGCAAGAAAAACTTGCCTAGTGTAAAGTAGGAACTTCGCATCCATTAGTGTACCTGCAACTTACCCTTCTTATTTCGTCTATAATCTAAAAAATCTGTTAGAGGATGGAATTTATTATTTGTTACATTCAAAGAACCACATGTAGGTGTTGTAGAGTGATTGACAAACACCAACACAATGTTCAAATTCTCGGCAATACTCTGTAGCTGTATTATATCCAGATTAGTTTAATAATAGTTTTGCTAAACTTTAAGCCCAAAATCCAGCGGATTTTTTTAGAACTTTAAAACTTAGGACTACGCCTATTTGGAAACGATATCCATGAAGCCGATATATGTTTTAGTCATGATACTGATATGATTAGATATAAATTTAATTATTAGCTTATGTAGTAGGTTGCATATACTATTATGTCACATTAGCATATAATTAAATACTCATACTAAAAGGTATTAAAAACAACGCTCTATTCTAATTTATATTTTGATATTTGATTTTTTAATTTATTCTCTTTTTATATAAATATATTATAGTTTTCTTATATTGTTTTATAATTTAAAAATTATGTACTTTATATCTAATATAAGTAACCTTAAGCCCATTAACAGTAAAGTATATGGTACATATATTAATAATAAAATTTTAAACATTTCAAACATTTCATTTATTAAATATTTGTATTATTACACAAAATCAATGTGTTCATTATTGTAAAATTTATTTTCAAAATTAAGTTTTGTCAAAATTCAATGAATATTTTCAATCAATTATTTAATATATATAATTCTTTTGACTACAATAAAGTGAAAAACCTTAGGCTTTCAGAATATCATTCAGAATTTACAACCTGCATCTATTTCCTGTAATTAATATTAAACGACTAATTAATTCTTAGAAGATAAGAATTGGAATATTTTCTTAAACAATTGACCATGAGCGAAATTATTTGAATTAATTCAAAAAATCAAAAATTTCCGCTAAACAATGATCATTAGGAACACAATGGGTTGCTACCGTTACTACCTGAACAGCTGCCATTACCTATTCTACATCCTAAGCTAACTGTTTATTTGCAAGAAATAGACCAATTAGCGACTTTGAAGATATCACTAAATTCCTACCTGTGAAATGTATATAAAAATCTTGATATTCTGCTGTGAAGTCAACAGTTTGAGTCTGAGCTTATCAAGAGCATAACGCTTATAGCAAAAGTTAAAAATTTTCGAAGCATTTTACAACTGCAATTACTACGAATATTAAAAATTAATAACATGTTTTTAAATTCTACAATGAAAACTACTGAAGAATTGTCTTACTCTGAATTAGTCGCCAATATGTCATCTTTTAATAGCGCCGATTTCAGTATGTACATTAATTCTTCTGAGGCAATCGATAACAAGAAACGTCTGCGCACTGAAAAACGTGAATCAATACCCATAACCCTGGAAGCTGCAAAGAAATGTGAAGAAATCGATGACGATAATGATGATGATAATGAATTTATATCCACCTCGGATACAAGTAGTTCAAAGGAATGCACATTGAACACAACTGAAAGTTTAAACAATCTTTTGGAATATTTCGATGAAGAGTTGCTATTCAACCCTAATACAACTACAACTGCCAATACTACAATAACCGATAAAGTAGCTACTCTCATTGCGAAATTTAGATGTAAAACCGTACAAGTTTCGCTAAGAAAAAAAACGACAAAACTTAATAGGCGCCAATCAGTAGTTCGTTTAAATATAAAGGAGCTAAGAAGAAGATATGAAACTAATAATGCAGATAAATTAAATAAAAGCTCTACACAACAGAAGTCGTCAAGATCGAGAGTTAAACAAATAGTGCAAATGTTTAATGCAAAAATGGTACAAATCATTCGGCGTAATGGAAACGAAACCCCATATACTACTCTACATAATCAACTTTCACCAGAGACGAAGACAACAACGGAAAACATAAATAAGTTCGTGCAACAAGTCTCAGCACCAACATCACATACAGAATTTATAACCAATAATACAAGTACAACTATAATCCCACAACAGCCACAGAAAAGATTCACAAATACTACTTGCTTGGTGACGGAAGAAATCTTTAATCAGCTTTCTGTAAAGGATAAAGCATTGCATTTTAATAAATTTATAGACAATTCAAAATTCATTAAACAAGTAGGACCTCAATTAACTAATGAGCAACATTTCGTAAAAGATTTGACGGAAGAGTTGGAAGCACTCTGTAGTTTTCCCAAAGCCACCATTAATCCAGTGAAAAATTCACCGAAAAAACTAACCACAGATGATATGAAGGAAGTTCCTGAATGCGCAAACCTCAATGAAAAATTACATAACAAACGAGATGTTATACCTTTGGATATAATTGAAGCAACACAAAAGCGTTCAAGTAATTCTATGTTATCCGATGATCCTAAGAAAATACGCCTACAGCAAGTACACTCTAATTCACTGAGGGCCATCACACCAATAGACAATATCAACAAGTCAATTATAACGGTATTTGATCATGAAGTTACTATCAGTTCTTTAGATGACGATGCACAAAAGTCAGCAGTAAATAAATTGCTGGAAGAAGCGCTAGCAGACTTGACAACAATTGATGTTAAAGAGTCAACTGAACTTGTTTTACAAACACCTAAGAAAACTCTAAGAAAGAAGAAACGCCCAGCACCGCCAATACCGATTTCAAATAAAGTACTCAATTCAAGTGAATGCTCATCACAATTGCAAGAACCATGTGACGAACCAAAACAGAATATTCTAAATCCGATTGAAGACTTCAAATTTGCAGTGCCAATCAAACCACCACCACGAAAAAAGAGAATGAGTCGTGCTGCCCCATCAACAGATGTATCAGATGAAGCACGTAGTTCTAGTGAGTGCGCAGCACAATCACAAGACACGAGTGACGAACCAAAACAGATTATATCAAATCCGTCTGAAGATTTCAAATACGCTGTTCCAATCAAACCACCACCACGCAAGAAGAGACTGAATCGTGCTGCTCCTTCAACAGATGTATCAGATGAAGCACGTAGTTCTAGTGAGTGCGCAGCACAATCACAAGACACGAGTGACGAACCAAAACAGATTATATCAAATCCGTCTGAAGATTTCAAATACGCTGTTCCAATCAAACCACCACCACGCAAGAAGAGACTGAATCGTGCTGCTCCTTCAACAGATGTATCAGATGAAGCACGTAGTTCTAGTGAATGCGCATCACAATCACAAGCAACAAATGACGAGGCAGAGCACCCCAATAAAAATATTCCAAATTCATCTGAGGACTTCAAATTTGCTATTCCGATTAAACCAGCACCACGAAAGAAGAAAATGAATCGTATTTTAACCTCGGGGAAAGAAAACTTGAATATTGAATATTACAAAAGAGGAAAGGCATTCAAAAGTAGGCCGGACCGAAAGATATATAATATCAACAAAGAAAACTTGGCGCAATATCACGCTAGTTCACCAAACGAAACCAATATAATTGAATCACGCAGTAGTCCAACACCAATATCAACAAAATCACGCCGACGTTTCTTTTATGACAATGACTCACGGCGCAGCTCAGTATACAAGCAAGTCATACAAGAGCATCATCCATTAGACAACGCCAAAGAGATACCATCTAAGCAAGATAACTTTAGTGGACGCCCCAGTGCAAACTCCTTCGCCAACATACCATCGAATAACCTATATACTAAGTCTAGATTTTGGATAACGGTAGATGATCTCAAAGTTTCCTATGACATATGTTATAAGCCAGCTGCTGACCTACGTTGTGCATTTAATAGCTTCACACAGAAAATGCGCTATCCTACAGAATTTGGTATCGATGAACATAAGTTTTCAATTCTGGATTCACCCACAAAACAAGAACGCTTGCCAAAAATTAATAAAATCCATGGACACAGTAGTTATTGGTTTTCTTGTGGAGATCTTATTATAATGTTCACTGGCAAACAAAGATCAACTGATGAAGTAGCGCACTTATTTACATTTCTAAGGAAATCTTATACAAATACATCGTCAATACGATTTGGTGTAGATGATATCGAGTTCTCCGTATCACAATACTATCGACCAAGTGGACTAAGATTCTCTGTGGATTATGATATGTTAGTGGGTCTACAAGCAGGCAACAGCAACGGACTAGAAGGACGCAGTAAGTTTGCATGGCCAAATTGCAGAAGATCTTCTACAAATTTAAAGAATCCAAGAATAAGTGATCTTTACCGCCCAGAATTCGAATCGGAGAAGTTTGGAAATAGCAATATGCCAACATTATCTTTCGGGAACCGACTTTCTATGAACTTTCTACGTTACAGTGATGCTAGCATGTTCAGTCCAGATATGTTTAGCTTAAAAAGCGAGCCATTGGATCAAATATTCAATGATGTTAAAAACCTAACTTTCCTCGAAAATATTGTTAAGGAAAATAATAATGTTTAATTTAACTTCAATCAAACTACTTAATTATGCTAAATATTATATAAGACTATTATAATTGTAATAATTTAAAAGTAAGAAATAAATTTTAATTAAAGAGGAAATTAAATTGTTTAAAAATATAAAAATTTTACAGAATTTATGATTTTGAGCATTGCGCTATCTGCCTCCATTCCACGCAGTTGGTTTAGTCTATCGGTGTTTGGAAGCATTCTAAGCCATCTCAGCTGCAATATAAGTTCAATATTCTTAATTTTGCTTTATATTGAATTCTAATATCTTTCATTAATTTAAAAATTCTTCCATCAAGAATCTTTTAGGCGATACATGGCGATATTTGACGTTGTATCTAGAAAATGTACTCAGGCAGTATAATTTGGTTGTTCGGAAGGTTTAAACCTTCTGCCAAGGTAATATAGCGAAACCATCCATACCACAAATACTTAAAAACAAGCTAAAAGTTGGTATATACCTTATTGCGGTTCTTTATTGACAGGAATGTTAAATTATTTATATATTATGTATTTTTGTATGTCAATCAGCGGTCAACATAACTATAAAGGTCTACCTAATTGCACTAGAAAACAATTATAATATAAGAATGACATTGTTGAATAAAAATTCCGTTGGGCTGAAACAACTTCTATGAAAAACAATAAACGTAATAACGTAATTACTTATTCATATTCATATTCTTATTCATATATATTATTGAGGATCCGAAGTTTTGTTTCCGCCTGAATTCACAAATGAAAATAGAAATTATATTCGGATTGTGTTATCCCTCCTCTTTTCGACTGACAAGAGAACTAGTAGTAGGTATTCCTCTCTTTATAAAAAAAATTTGAGAAAAACAACAAATTTGACTAGCATGAAGTAAATTTAAACCTGGCAAAATAGAACGTTTCGTGAAAAAATCGGATCTCTTCTTACAAATTACTTATCTAGAATTCTCATCTAGAATTCTACAGATATAAAAAAACTTAATAATATCGATCCTATTTTCTACACATTTATTAAGACTCTAGCATTTTAATATAATAATCTAATATAATATTTATTTTATAACTACCATTTAAGAACTTATCATAATCTACCTTAATTATTTTTTTATACTTACTCCTAAAATTACAAGTCTTAAAAGAAAAAAAATAATTCTTGTTTAATTTCTATAAGGTAAATTTAAAATATTATCTCATTTACTTGTATCATCTATTAGAACCCAGGCAAGAAAAACTTGCCTAGTGTAAAGTAGGAACTTCGCATCCATTAGTGTACCTGCAACTTACCCTTCTTATTTCGTCTATAATCTAAAAAATCTGTTAGAGGATGGAATTTATTATTTGTTACATTCAAAGAACCACATGTAGGTGTTGTAGAGTGATTGACAAACACCAACACAATGTTCAAATTCTCGGCAATACTCTGTAGCTGTATTATATCCAGATTAGTTTAATAATAGTTTTGCTAAACTTTAAGCCCAAAATCCAGCGGATTTTTTTAGAACTTTAAAACTTAGGACTACGCCTATTTGGAAACGATATCCATGAAGCCGATATATGTTTTAGTCATGATACTGATATGATTAGATATAAATTTAATTATTAGCTTATGTAGTAGGTTGCATATACTATTATGTCACATTAGCATATAATTAAATACTCATACTAAAAGGTATTAAAAACAACGCTCTATTCTAATTTATATTTTGATATTTGATTTTTTAATTTATTCTCTTTTTATATAAATATATTATAGTTTTCTTATATTGTTTTATAATTTAAAAATTATGTACTTTATATCTAATATAAGTAACCTTAAGCCCATTAACAGTAAAGTATATGGTACATATATTAATAATAAAATTTTAAACATTTCAAACATTTCATTTATTAAATATTTGTATTATTACACAAAATCAATGTGTTCATTATTGTAAAATTTATTTTCAAAATTAAGTTTTGTCAAAATTCAATGAATATTTTCAATCAATTATTTAATATATATAATTCTTTTGACTACAATAAAGTGAAAAACCTTAGGCTTTCAGAATATCATTCAGAATTTACAACCTGCATCTATTTCCTGTAATTAATATTAAACGACTAATTAATTCTTAGAAGATAAGAATTGGAATATTTTCTTAAACAATTGACCATGAGCGAAATTATTTGAATTAATTCAAAAAATCAAAAATTTCCGCTAAACAATGATCATTAGGAACACAATGGGTTGCTACCGTTACTACCTGAACAGCTGCCATTACCTATTCTACATCCTAAGCTAACTGTTTATTTGCAAGAAATAGACCAATTAGCGACTTTGAAGATATCACTAAATTCCTACCTGTGAAATGTATATAAAAATCTTGATATTCTGCTGTGAAGTCAACAGTTTGAGTCTGAGCTTATCAAGAGCATAACGCTTATAGCAAAAGTTAAAAATTTTCGAAGCATTTTACAACTGCAATTACTACGAATATTAAAAATTAATAACATGTTTTTAAATTCTACAATGAAAACTACTGAAGAATTGTCTTACTCTGAATTAGTCGCCAATATGTCATCTTTTAATAGCGCCGATTTCAGTATGTACATTAATTCTTCTGAGGCAATCGATAACAAGAAACGTCTGTGCACTGAAAAACGTGAATCAATACCCATAACCCTGGAAGCTGCAAAGAAATGTGAAGAAATCGATGACGATAATGATGATGATAATGAATTTATATCCACCTCGGATACAAGTAGTTCAAATGAATGCACATTGAACACAACTGAAAGTTTAAACAATCTTTTGGAATATTTCGATGAAGAGTTGCTATTCAACCCTAATACAACTACAACTGCCAATACTACAATAACCGATAAAGTAGCTACTCTCATTGCGAAATTTAGATGTAAAACCGTACAAGTTTCGCTAAGAAAAAAATCGACAAAACTTAATAGGCGCCAATCAGTAGTTCGTTTAAATATAAAGGAGCTAAGAAGAAGATATGAAACTAATAATGCAGATAAATTAAATAAAAGCTCTACACAACAGAAGTCGTCAAGATCGAGAGTTAAACAAATAGTGCAAATGTTTAATGCAAAAATGGTACAAATCATTCGGCGTAATGGAAACGAAACCCCATATACTACTCTACATAATCAACTTTCACCAGAGACGAAGACAACAACGGAAAACATAAATAAGTTCGTGCAACAAGTCTCAGCACCAACATCACATACAGAATTTATAACCAATAATACAAGTACAACTATAATCCCACAACAGCCACAGAAAAGATTCACAAATACTACTTGCTTGGTGACGGAAGAAATCTTTAATCAGCTTTCTGTAAAGGATAAAGCATTGCATTTTAATAAATTTATAGACAATTCAAAATTCATTAAACAAGTAGGACCTCAATTAACTAATGAGCAACATTTCGTAAAAGATTTGACGGAAGAGTTGGAAGCACTCTGTAGTTTTCCCAAAGCCACCATTAATCCAGTGAAAAATTCACCGAAAAAACTAACCACAGATGATATGAAGGAAGTTCCTGAATGCGCAAACCTCAATGAAAAATTACATAACAAACGAGATGTTATACCTTTGGATATAATTGAAGCAACACAAAAGCGTTCAAGTAATTCTATGTTATCCGATGATCCTAAGAAAATACGCCTACAGCAAGTACACTCTAATTCACTGAGGGCCATCACACCAATAGACAATATCAACAAGTCAATTATAACGGTATTTGATCATGAAGTTACTATCAGTTCTTTAGATGACGATGCACAAAAGTCAGCAGTAAATAAATTGCTGGAAGAAGCGCTAGCACACTTGACAACAATTGATGTTAAAGAGTCAACTGAACTTGTTTTACAAACACCTAAGAAAACTCTAAGAAAGAAGAAACGCCCAGCACCGCCAATACCGATTTCAAATAAAGTACTCAATTCAAGTGAATGCTCATCACAATTGCAAGAACCATGTGACGAACCAAAACAGAATATTCTAAATCCGATTGAAGACTTCAAATTTGCAGTGCCAATCAAACCACCACCACGAAAAAAGAGAATGAGTCGTGCTGCCCCATCAACAGATGTATCAGATGAAGCACGTAGTTCTAGTGAGTGCGCAGCACAATCACAAGACACGAGTGACGAACCAAAACAGATTATATCAAATCCGTCTGAAGATTTCAAATACGCTGTTCCAATCAAACCACCACCACGCAAGAAGAGACTGAATCGTGCTGCTCCTTCAACAGATGTATCAGATGAAGCACGTAGTTCTAGTGAATGCGCATCACAATCACAAGCAACAAATGACGAGGCAGAGCACCCCAATAAAAATATTCCAAATTCATCTGAGGACTTCAAATTTGCTATTCCGATTAAACCAGCACCACGAAAGAAGAAAATGAATCGTATTTTAACCTCGGGGAAAGAAAACTTGAATATTGAATATTACAAAAGAGGAAAGGCATTCAAAAGTAGGCCGGACCGAAAGATATATAATATCAACAAAGAAAACTTGGCGCAATATCACGCTAGTTCACCAAACGAAACCAATATAATTGAATCACGCAGTAGTCCAACACCAATATCAACAAAATCACGCCGACGTTTCTTTTATGACAATGACTCACGGCGCAGCTCAGTATACAAGCAAGTCATACAAGAGCATCATCCATTAGACAACGCCAAAGAGATACCATCTAAGCAAGATAACTTTAGTGGACGCCCCAGTGCAAACTCCTTCGCCAACATACCATCGAATAACCTATATACTAAGTCTAGATTTTGGATAACGGTAGATGATCTCAAAGTTTCCTATGACATATGTTATAAGCCAGCTGCTGACCTACGTTGTGCATTTAATAGCTTCACACAGAAAATGCGCTATCCTACAGAATTTGGTATCGATGAACATAAGTTTTCAATTCTGGATTCACCCACAAAACAAGAACGCTTGCCAAAAATTAATAAAATCCATGGACACAGTAGTTATTGGTTTTCTTGTGGAGATCTTATTATAATGTTCACTGGCAAACAAAGATCAACTGATGAAGTAGCGCACTTATTTACATTTCTAAGGAAATCTTATACAAATACATCGTCAATACGATTTGGTGTAGATGATATCGAGTTCTCCGTATCACAATACTATCGACCAAGTGGACTAAGATTCTCTGTGGATTATGATATGTTAGTGGGTCTACAAGCAGGCAACAGCAACGGACTAGAAGGACGCAGTAAGTTTGCATGGCCAAATTGCAGAAGATCTTCTACAAATTTAAAGAATCCAAGAATAAGTGATCTTTACCGCCCAGAATTCGAATCGGAGAAGTTTGGAAATAGCAATATGCCAACATTATCTTTCGGGAACCGACTTTCTATGAACTTTCTACGTTACAGTGATGCTAGCATGTTCAGTCCAGATATGTTTAGCTTAAAAAGCGAGCCATTGGATCAAATATTCAATGATGTTAAAAACCTAACTTTCCTCGAAAATATTGTTAAGGAAAATAATAATGTTTAATTTAACTTCAATCAAACTACTTAATTATGCTAAATATTATATAAGACTATTATAATTGTAATAATTTAAAAGTAAGAAATAAATTTAAATTAAAGAGGAAATTAAATTGTTTAAAAATATAAAAATTTTACAGGATTTATGATTTTGAGCATTGCGCTATCTGCCTCCGCAGTTGATTACGTAGTTGGTTTAGTCTATCCGTTTAGTCTATCGGCGATATTTGACGTTGTATCTAGAAAATGTACTCAGGCAGTATAATTTGGTTATTCGGAAGGTTTAAACCTTCTGCCAAGGTAATATAGCGAAACCATCCATACCACAAATACTTAAAAACAAGCTAAAAGTTGATAAATAAATATAAATATATTAAACATATTAAATATTTAATATAAATATATTGCGTATTTTTGTATGTCAATTGGTAAATGTTAATTAGTAAGATTAAAACAATTTTTAAAAATAATAAGTTTTTACTGATCCTTAAAACATATATCCATTTAAATCACCGAAAAATCGATTTTTCATTGAGAAAAATGGTGTAAATAATTTTTATAAGTCACTTGTTTATTTCGTATACATATATTATAATTCGATTACATTCACATAAATTTGTACATCTTGTTCTTTTAATTTAGGTTAGCAGGTAGCAACAAGTAAAATTTTGCATTTTAATGTCAGTTATAACAATTTTTATAATTTTTAATAGGAACTCCTTTAATATTATTTTTATTTAATTAAATTTTTGATTGAACATATTGCCGAACACCCGTTTCTTTTAATTAATTGATTGCCAAACTTAAAGCTCAGATTTGGCAGGGTACTTACATTTTACTTTTTAATATTAAATATAAAGCGACTATATTAAATACTCGCAATACTCGAAAGGGATGATTTCCGGTCAGCCGGAAATTCAATTAATTAAAATATCAAAAAAAAATTGTTGTTGTATTTCGCTACTGTACGAACACTCTCTATAAGAACAGTTTATTTATATAACAGAAAAATTATTTTCAAATAATTATCAGTTTTTGAATTTTAGAATGTTTTGAATCGAAAATTATAAATATATATACATTATCATATATTATGTAATAAAAAATATATAAAATAAAATAATTCATGAAGAATAAAAATAACATTTTAAAATTAATAAGTATGAAGGATAATGTTATTCTCGAATAGAAGTATTTTTTTCAAGAGAATGATTTGAAATTGGCAGCCTATATTTTGTATATAAAGTTTTCATACCTGAAGGTCAACAGATTCTTAGAAGTTACTTATTTAGAAATATCCTAACCAATCGATGCAGTAAGTCCGTAATTCATAGGAATTTTTGGCAAAATATCAGACAACATCCCAGAAGTTATTTTAAACACTTGACTAAATGTTGCTACCTGGTAACATAACAAATTATTTAATTATTCTTTTACAATCCCAAAGCCTTTTTGACCGTTATAATTTATTATGGCATCCCGTAACAAAAGTATAATTCCATAACAAAATTTTTTTGTTATTTAGGATACATACTTGTTACCTGTGAAAACGTATATAAAACTCCTGATCATCTGCTGTGAAAACAGTTTGAATTTGAACACGCTTGTGGCAATATATAGAAATTATTGGAGTACGACTAAACCAAACTAATTGAAATGTTTGCAAATCCAGCATTAAAAGCTACTGAAGATTTGTCTTACACTGAATTTGTTGCAAATATGTCATCTTTTGACGTCGATGATCTCAGTATCTCATCGAGTGCAAATGAGAATAAAGCACTGGAACAAAGGAAAGTACAATGTGAATTGATACCAGGAACTCTACAAACTGCAAAGACATGTGAAGAATTCTATGATAAAAACGGATCCACTGCTAACGTCATTAGTTCAAATGCAACGATATTTAAAATAACCGAAAATTTTGGTGCTCTTTTTGATTATTCTGATGAAGAGGAAGAGGAATCATTGGAGTGTAATGCAACAACAGCCAAAAAAGCAGCTACTTTTGTAACAAATATCCGTAATAAAACTGCACAAGCACGAAAATCGATAACTTTTGACAAGGGGCAATCAAAGAATCGCTTGAATGTGAAGAATCTGAAGAAAGCATATGAAACAAATAAAGATGATAAAATGAATAAAACTTTCATACGACAAAAATTGTCCAAATCTCCAAAAATGTCGCGGAAATCAAAATTTAAACTAATGGCACATATTCAACGTGAAGGAAAAGAAATAGCTTACACTGCTATACGTAATCGATTTTTATCAAAAAACTTTTCGGTCCTGTCCACAAATAAGTTCACTGCATCACCCAAGCCTCACACTAAATATCAAATTAGAGTCTCAAATACGACACTATTCCCAAAACATCAACGTGGAGAATATACAAGTACTACTTCTCATGTCATTAAAGACGTAGCTGAAACCGCAAGTAAAAGAAAATTCGAATATAGAGAAACGGTAAATGAAAACAGAGATATAAACAAACGATATTTAACTGAAAATTTGGAAGCAAAACAAACCCTTCCCAAATGTACCATTAATAAACGAAAGGCTATTATACCAAAAAGGCGCATTCCCGAACAACCTAATGACAAAGGCGATAGAAAATGTTCTTTTAGAGAAATTATTAAACGAGATATGCATTCTATTAAAAATTTGGATTTAATAGAACCAATACAGAAGCGTCCTAATGACTTCATATTATCCGATCCACCAAAAAAAGTTTGCATACAGCAAACGTGCTCGAATGTACTGAACGATGTCGTACCATTTAGTGATATAAACACATCAAGTAAAATCGCATGTGCTCAAAAAGCTACTATCAGTTCTTTGGATGAAAACTCTCTAAAATCAGCAATGAATAAATTATCACTCGACAATATGAACTCAGCAATTAAAATTCCTTCTGCTCAAAAAGTTGTCAACACTTTGGATGCGAAATCACAAAAAAGTGCAATGGAAAAATTACTGGAAGAAGCGCTGGAGAAATTTACAAAAATTAATATCAAAGAAGAAAGAAGGAACTAACCATATTTATTATAGATGACCATCACTGGAAACTAAAAATGAACCAGAAGAACACATCAAGTTCGAATGTACTACTTTAAATATAATATATTCCACTACTTATAAAATTAGTTAAAAATTTAGAATGAAGCTAATTTCAATACATTAAACTAATTATGAATAAAAATCAAATTATAAAATAAAGATTTAGAAAGAAATGAAATTTTTTATTGACCCAGATATTCTTTGCATTTAAGCTTACTTCCTAACAGAATTTTCAGGAAATCCTTGCAAAAAATTATATATAACTAGCTGATAGTTCGACGTCATTTGTTTTACTCATTGTAAAAATTGATGAAGTGAACATTCAGAAACTCATTAGACCTAAGTTATTCTTAACAATATAATAAGCCTCTCTAGTTGTTATCAATTTTAAAACGCGTCATCTTTTTTGTAATTTCAAAATCAGTTTTCTACATATATAACATTTTGATGATATTTTCCATAAATTTATTTATATTTCCACTGAAGTCCACTATCGACTTCATCAAATTCAAGCTAAATACAAATTCAGTTTTTGATTTTTGAATCTTACATAAAAGTTTCTAAGATTATCTATTGTCTCAATGATCAATTAAACAAGTGAATACTGAATGATATTTCCAACACCACGTCAGAGTAGTCTATTCTCCGAGCTGCTATTCAAGTCAATTGCTTTTAATTGTATTCCAATACTATATAATAGAAGATATTATGTATTTTAATTTTTTAGGCAATAGTTTTCCTTTCGTGCTAGATATCATTCCAATATAAATGTGCAGTGATAAATTACACGACTCTACAGGACTCTTTCTTCAATGGATCGTAATAAAGTTCTAGGCGGATTTTAATTGCAAGATTTCTGTAGTACGTATATATTATTAGAAAAATCAAGGAATTTTTAATGCAAGTATTCGATAACTATACAGAAATGAACCTGTGATTTTCGATCGTGAAAATTTATATAATCTATAAAATCTATATTTATCTCGGAGGCAAATTCGCCTAACATTACTTTATTCTGTCAAATAATATACTATGAGCTAAATTTGCTAAAATTTTGTTAACTGTCTTTCACTTTAAAATGCGTTTTCAAGTTTCTTAATAGATACTAGATACCTGATGTGCAACTGCTTTAATATCGAGTGTCTTAACACTCAGTATGCTTTTAATAAAAGGACAGCTAGATAATACAACCAGACAATATTTTAATCTTTCCAGAAATCTTAACAATTAAAATTCAATTCGCAGATTGATTCCCGACATAGATATCTGTCATAAGATATACCATGAGAACATTTAGTTTTAGTTAAACCTTAGCAAATAGGTAAAACGCCCGCATGTGAGCGATTATATTCACAACACAGCCATCAAAACAATAGTCATTCTTGATAGTATACTATGGCATTCTTATTCAATTATTAAGTAAATAAGATCGGTACTTTGTGATTAGATTCCTCTATGGTCAACAATCCACTAAAATCTCACAAAAACTCAATTAGTGTTTGAGTGGTATGCATCGGAGCTTCATTGTAGAATGAGTTGGTAAGTGTTTCGTAATTGAAAAAAGTTGCTAATGGAGCGACACTTTATACGGTTATATTTTATATAACGCATATTTAGTCAGTAAAACAGTGCTGAGGTTGTTTATCTATCAAGTTACCAGATACATTACCAACTTAACAAGATGGGCCAATCAGAGCAGAAACAAGTAGACTCTGTTTGTAGTCACAATCTTTAAGATGGGTTGTCTTTAACCTGATCCTATCCTGTAGTTTTTATCCTCGTCTGATGTTAAGATATCTTTAACAGCTGACATTTTGGCCTTCAATCAAATGGCTAGGCGTTTTCTGTTTAGCAGCACAAAAGACTAGTCATTGTCATTGTCTGACAGATGCAGATACATTACAAACTTAAAAAGATGGGTTCATCGGGGGAGATAGAACGTCGGCTCTG